TAAAAAACATAAAAAATGTTTATTCTTGAGAGAGACAGAACATAATGAGCGGGAGGGGCAGACAGAGAGAGGGACAGAGAATCTGAAGCAGGCTCCAGGCTCTGAGCTGTCAGCACAGAGCCTGATGTTGGGCTCAAACTCACGAGTTGTGAGATCATGACCTGAGCCTAAGTCAGACACTTAACTGACTGAGCCACCCAGGCGCCCCTGTTTATTTTTAGAGAGAAAGAGAGAGCTCAGACTTGTGGGTGTGCACAGGGAGGGGCAGAGGGAGAGGGAGAGAGAATCTCAAGCAGGTTCCATACCCAGTGCAGAGCCCGATTCAGGGCTCAATCTCACTATGGTAAGATCATGACCTGAGCCAAAATCAAAAGTCAGAATCTCAACCGGCGAAGCTACCCAGGGGTAAATTATTTCTATGGGCAAACACACTTCCACAACTTCTCAGCTTCCTCTAGGAAAAACAGGAGAAACAGACTTACCAATATACTCTTCCAGGTCAATGAAACCATCAGCATTCTTATCTATATCCTCCATTGTTTCCTGGACAAAAGAGAGTAAGAAGAGACTATTAAAGTTAGTATCTGGATGAATTAGTTTAGGCATTTATCATTCATTAAAAACACATGAACATGTGGGTATGGTTAGGGGCGCGGGAGTGGCTTAGTCGGTTAAAGCATCTGACTTTGGCTCAGATCATGACTTCACAGTTCATGAGTTCGAGCCCCACATCAGGCTCTGTGCTGACAGCCTGGAGCGTGGAACCTGCTTCGGATTCTATGTCTCCCTCCCTCTCTGTGCTCACCCGCTCACACTCTATCTGTCTCTCTCTCAAAAATAATAAACATTAAAAAAAATTTTAAAAACAAACATGTGGGGCGCCTGGGTGGCGCAGTCGGTTAAGCGTCTGACTTCAGCCAGGTCACGATCTCGCGGTCCGGGAGTTCGAGCCCCGCGTCGGGCTCTGGGCTGATGGCTCAGAGCCTGGAGCCTGTTTCCGATTCTGTGTCTCCCTCTCTTTCTGCCCCTCCCCCGTTCATGCTCTGTCTCTCTCTGTCCCAAAAATAAATAAACGTTGAAAAAAAAAAAATTAAAAAAACAAACAAACAAACAAACAAACGTACATGTGTGGGTATGGTTAAAGCATAGGAAGTTGCTGTTTTTCTAGCCGAAAAAATGGTAAAATATTAACTATTTTTTATGCTTCAACCCTAAATAATTATGAATCTTCTTGGAGGAACACTGGCATTATTTAATAATGACCTATCCCACCAAGCCGATAATGATGTGGAGTAGCCCTAGTCATGAAGTTATTCTAACAGATATGACCCGTAGGTCTGTAACTATGTAGTCTATGTTTTATGTTTACAAAACTATAAAGTCTACAGTTTATGTTTTATTGGTAACTGCCTTCTGT